CTCCAGTTCAGCCGCCATCAGTAGGCAACAGCTACGCTTCGATCCATCGGCTGAACTTCCCAAACTTGCCTTCAGCGAACGTCCTGTTCCCATCGTTCTCGGCTTCACCGCCGACCATCTGACGGTACGCTCGTTCTGCAGCCGACAGCGACCACTGCTGTACCTTCCTGGCAAAGTACGGCCTGGTATCACTTCTTTCACTATCCGAATTCCTAGTCACTTACCATGTACAGTTGTGAGATCAGTTGTTTTCGTCAAAGATTCTTATTTTGCTTCCGTTGGGCTATCCGAAATGTTGGGTGTAACAGAACTACTTTTCAATGACCGTTGGTCTTGCCATTCTCATTAACCAGAGTCAGTCAGTTTTACGTTTGAGATTTTATGCTGTCTTTATGAGAGGGGCAATTGCTCAGTGGGATGGTGGTTTTCCTTTCACTTTGCAGATGCCGGTTCAAACCCTATGCCCGAAGTAAATTTTTTCTTTTTGACTAATAATTCCCTTGAGCAAAGAACGCATCCTACTGTGCTTCGGTGTAGCCAACCGAAAAATCAGATAGTGTGTCGTTGTCTTATATGTAATTGTCACTGCATGGTATTTTCATGGGTCATGCCAAGGCATGATATGCCTAACATTGGTGTCTGATGAATGCTCTTCCCGGTTGCAGTTCGCCATTTCGACTAAAGCTACTTTCAGCTAGATATTCATGGTCATTTTAATCTAATATTAATTCTGAAACTGGATGCCAGACGAGAGAACAGCAACCGAATTCATTAGCAAAGCCACTTGAAAGGCGGTCTAGAGGAAGAAGTAAACCATACTGATTGATTGCATATGATATCTGTCATGTCTCTGTCATGCCTCGAAATCCGTACCTTTGAGCTTGCCCACTTGCGGCGTACCGGGATGGTTTGAATGATCACTTGAGGCTGCTGTCCCCACAAGGAATATTGGGCACTTCTCAGTGATTAAATAATCGTTATGCTGTCATCGATATCATCTAAACGTAGCGATTTAGTGTTTTATCTTCTTGAAACTTCTGACGGTTTTTTAAATTCTCATCGTGCTTACGCAACCACTACGTCTCTTAGGCTCGTCATCATTCCCTTGCTCACCTTTGGTCATAAACCATAACGGAAAACTTCGACCCCGTATATAGGCGGCTCTTGCGCTTCAATACGGTTTCGGTTCAGAGATGTCTGAGAGGCTATGGTATGCAGCCGCTGCTTCTCCAGACTGATAAGTCATTTCTGCGATGATCCGTGCACTTGTTGCGAATGCCTCGAGAAAGGAAGCGAAACAGCTTCTAACCGACCGGCCGAAGAACCTGAGGACGGCTAAGAATGATTTGAGACAAATGAGTCTACACCCTCTACTCCACATTTATTTTCTGCCGAAGGTGAAACGCTGGCTCAGAATCGGAAACGTTAGCGACACTGTCTGATGCATTTGCCTCTGCTACCCATAAGGATAGGCAATTATCTCAGCTGAACGACCGACTGACTGATGTTATTGCTGTCATAGTGTATTAGTCGCCTTTCAAGTGTATGAAAGCGAGTTGCAGCCCTAAAGCGCAAGAATAACGCAGCTTAGCCACAAGTCTCACGCCAAAATGTCATGTTATGTCATCCCTGCTGTTCGAACATCATCGACTTCTAACTCTTGCTCGACAGTTTGTACTGAAGCGTAATATGATTCCTTGGTAAATTAAATTATCTAGGAAAATTTGTGAATTAACTTGTTAACTTGCGAAACGACTGCCATTTGCACTATACGCAGAATGATTGTTTGATCTTCTGATCCAAAATTTTCGAAGCACGACAAAATTTTAGGCGTACTATAGTAAAGAAATACCATACTAGTGTTTCAGAATTTCCCTTATTTGTTTTCTTTCTTCTGAAGCTGTAGTTGGTTCCTGAAATCCTGGCATAGTTTTTATTCATAAAATCATTTTATTATCGAACTTATCCATCTATCGAAAACATTAAATCAGATGAATAACAGAAAACTTATGGTGACGTTGAAACCGTTGACACGAAATAACTGTTTGTTTCGGTTTTGAAATGCTTGGCTGTATTTTATTTGGCATCATACCCTCTATTTGCTCACGTTATCTCGTTTTTTTAGTCTTCAGCGAGGTCGGCAGTGCAGATCAATGTGGGCAGTTCGGAGAGAAAGAAGAATCCACAGTTTTGCATTCCGACTTCAGGTATGATTCCAAATATCGGTGATTCGTGAACTAAACATCATTTCTGACGCCTGTTTCAGTTCTAAACAAAAATACGGCGCAACCTCTAGTCATCGAATGTAAGAGTTCGAATGGAACCGTGTCGTTCCCTGTTTCATTCCAACTACCCTCGCCGTCGGTAATGCGCAAGATCGGAATCGATACTGTTGTTGAAGATGGAATCGACCGGTCTCCATCGTCAGTCAAGCCGGAGCCGTTGGTTGTGCAAATTGCGCCATTCCCATCTTTCGCCTGTTCCACAGAGGTAAGGGACATTTTTTGTTCAGTAATTGCAGTCTGCAGTTTAAAACGAATTCAAGAAATTTCAGAAATTTCACTACATTCTCTTACGGTAAAAATTTTATTACGTTTTTTAAAGATTGACTCAGGTTTTACGTCAAAATTCAAAATGTTGCTGATTCTGGTGTCAGTCAACAAATCGGCCGAAGTGATTTGAAGTTTTATTTTTGACCTGATAGTTTTAACTGGTAAAAGGTGCTGCTACTTGTAAGTTTCATGACAGCAAAGAAAATATTTTTTTATCAAGAAAATGTAAATTTCGTATCTAAAAATGCATTGAAATGGAATAATATGTTTGTCATCTAGGCATGTCTAAATGATCGTTTCATTTACTTCGAAAATCATTCATGCACTTCTGAATCATCTCATCTTTTATGCAACTTCTAATGTTCGAGATTCTTCACATAATTCATCAATTCAAAAAAGTATTTATAATTAATTTGGGTATTACGGGTTTACTAACAAGCTGCTAATTTTCGATACCGCGGGTAAGAGTATAAATCTCCCATCACTTGTCCGTATTCATGCTACATAGCTTCACCGTCCCTCTGCGACTTAATAACCTTGGGGACTGTTTAATCAGGCCATGGCTCCATCTTATTTTAATATTTGCAGTGCGTCAGTGTAAGGCGCAACTGCCTTGTGCGGTCGAACAAAATATGTTCGATTATCAACAGGAGTATCTCGATCCATAGACATATACAATAAAAGTTAACCCCGGTGTTATGAATTGTCCAGCAAACTGATAATTTTCAATACAGCCGGTAAGAATGTCAATCTCCTGTCATTTCTCTGGATTCATACATAGTCGACATATGACGTGAAGTAGCGGTTTGGACATTCTACATACGGCCCAGGGGGTAGTGCGTCTACGCTGTGTGACGAATCTAAAGAGGTGACAGAAGGTTGAAATAGGTTTATTTTCATTTATGTTAAAGCCGGCATCACTTCAAAAAATTGCAGTTCCTTCGGCATCGCAGTATTTTTTAAATACAGAAATAAGCGCCTAATAACATTACGCCACCAATCCAGGTTTCGCGTATCGAGTCCTACACCACGTCTTTCTAGATGCATAAGATAAATTTAGCATGGCGCGATTTAATCGTACTATAGCATCTACAAAGTACGGATGCAAATCCCGTCATGGTGTTTCAAATGGATTGTTGTTTTATCCCGCACAGCGATGCATTATTGCATCCATGGGCTTCTGGGGCGTGCTATATTGTCCTAGTGCCATGCCGTGCATAAATGGCCCTCATGCTTCTGGGAACAAAGTAGCGGTATAACTATGCTCTGTAAACAGGTTAAAACCGCGCGTATTTAAGTACGCCTTTCGCTAATTATTTAATGAACTACTGGCCTTCGGTTTTTTGATTCTTGTTTCGTTTGTTATTTTGGGTCGTATTTCTAGAAAGCAAAGTGCAAACTTGTGAGGAAGAGGAAATTGGGTAGAGATGATTCGTTTACATGCAGCAGGTCGAAAATTCGCGCGATCGACGGAGGATTTGTAAGGTCCAAGACGGCGGTGTTTTCACAATCGGTCGTTCCTGGAAATATTACCTTGCCTTTGAATAGCAAAAAGAGTGTAGACGGGTCCAGTCGTAATCACCACAATTCGCCTGATGTTGAAATGGTGACCACAAAGATTCAGACAACGGCTGTCGATGGTGATGGCGATTCCATATTCACCCAGAACAACCGTACGTAGTGCTTGAGCACAAATGATTAGCAGCTCGTTGCGGTGCCAGACATGAGTCTTCTTTTTCAGACCTCAGCTCCCCGCTGCTGGCGAGTAATAAAGTGACGGTGGAGTTGGATGACGTTTTCAGGAAATGTGATTCGTCGAAACGCGACGAATTGCCTCCGTCGTCTCCGTCACTGCAAGAGCAGCCCTCATTGCTCGAACAGGCCGCGATGAGGTTTTATCACGAATGGCAAGAAACGGAATTGATGACCAAGAAGCAACAGGTTAGCGTGTTAATTGGTCGACACTAAATTTTATATATGTTGTAATTTGATTTTTTTTCAGCAGACTCTTTCTTGTTCGCGACCGCCATCTCCATCAGCTACCTTCTTGCGCGGTGATGTTCTGCAGAGGCATTGGGGAACTCCCGCTTATTCGGCTGACCTTCGATCACTCGTAGCTATCCGCAG